GCTCGTACCGAAGCCGCCAGCAGCAGACTGTGTTGAAGATTCAATCGGAAGGGTCCAACACCTTGACTCCCTCAACTTGGATTTTTTCTCAGCAAGCATCACGCGAGCTCTTGACAAAGATGATAATTGCTCATGAAAAGCCTTTCACCTTTGTTGAGCAGCCGTTATTCCGAGCCTTTGTGTCATCCTTGCAACCCAAATTCAAGTTCTTCAGCCGTGCAACTCTAAAGAAGGATATCATTGCATTGTATCAATCAATGAAGGAAAAGTTAGCAACCGAGATTGCTGAAATCGATTGGATCGCCTTAACAACAGACCTCTGGACCTCCGCTAACCAGACCCCTTTTATGGTGGTCTCAGCTCATTTCATTGCATCCGACTGGACTCTCAAGGATCGAGTTCTCTCCTTCAAGGAGCTTCCAACTCCTCACACTGGTATTACTATTGGTGATCAGCTCTTAAGTACCATGGCCGATTGGAAGATCACCGATAAGGTGGCCTTTATCACTGTTGATAATGCCTCCTCGAACGATGTTGCAATTTCTCGAGTCGCCTCGGTTCTTTTAGCTCGAAGCAGTTCTGCTATGGAAATGAATGGAAAATTTTTTCATGTTCGATGCGCTGCCCACATCATCAACCTCGTTGTGAAGGACGGCCTAAAGATTGTTTCACAGGCGATCAACAAGATTCGGGACAGTGTGCGCTACACCAAGAGCACCCCTTCTCGTAAACAATCATTTAACGAGGCAATCAAACATGTCCACTTGGAAGAGCAAGCACTCCCATCAGTCGACGTTCCCACTCGCTGGAACTCAACATATGAAATGCTCAAATCAGCTCTCCCCTACAAAGATGCCTTTGATCAGCTTTCGGTTCAAGATGCCAATTACACCAACTTTCCTAGCAGCAACGAGTGGGCCGAAATATCTACCATGAAAGAATTTTTGTCTATCTTCAACACCGGTGCGTACATTTACATGCTTCTGTTTCCAATGATTGGCAAACTGACATTCTTGTTCTTTGATTATTGTAGCCACTTTAAAACTAGGAATGACGATACATCCCACTGCTCATCTGGTCTACAAAATGATGATGAAGATCGATAATCAACTGAAGAGCTCCAGCAACAGCAGCCTGCCTCACATTGCCAATATGATCGAGCCAATGCAAAATAAGTTCAATAAGTATTGGTCTCAAATGAAGGACTTTGCAGCAATCAATCAAGTCTTTGATCCTCGTTGCAAGTTGGACCGAATCGAATTCATCCTATCAGAAGAACTTGGCCAATCTCAAGCATCGACTAGCATCAACAAAATCAAGGATCTCCTCACCACGTGGTTCAACAATGTGATAACTAACAAGAACAAATCGCTTGCCCAAACTACATCGACCTCCGTTCCTGAAGAAACTAATTTGGCCAACGAACTCACCTCGCTTGACGACGACGACAAGCGTTACGAACAATACCTCAAACAGAGGAAGGCAACCCAATCGTTTTCCACCACTGCCGAGCTAGATCTCTATCTCCAGGAACCACCGGTGTTGACCGACTCATCAAAATTTTCAGTTCTCTCCTGGTGGGGTACCAATTCAGGAAGATTTCCGATGCTTTCGATCTTAGCAAAATCGATCCTGATGACTCCGATGACTTCAATTGCATCGGAGTCAGCTTTCTCAACAGGTGGAAGAGTACTAAGTGACTATCGAACTCGATTGAAACCCGCCACACTTGAAGCACTTGTGTGTGGGCAAAATTGGATCTGTGCTGACAAGGGCCTTATCATAAACGACAATGATGCTGATGTCGATGATGAGAACCAATAGCCACTGTAGCTTACAGACTCCTTCCCTCAATCTTACATAAATAGTTAAATCTTATTGTTTCATTCATTTTCAGCATTTTCTTATCCATACATGCCGAATACAAGTAATTAAGACATGTCTTCTCCACCCACCAAAAAAATAACGGGTTGACCGTGACCCGACCCGGTTCTGACCCGGACCCGACTTTATTCAACCGGGTTTGGGTTTGGGAAGCTAATTTGAGAAATTGACCCGACCCAACCCAACCCGCCTTTTAACTGGGTTCGGGTTTGGTCACTGTTTTCTGACCCGAACCCGACCCAGTTACATCCTGACTACAAACTATACGTCGACAATCAAAGTGCAATATCTTTGGCGACAAACCCACTCTATCAACGGCAAACAAAACACATCGATGTAATCTACCACTGGCTTAGGGAAATCTACGACACAGGTTTATTCAAGATTCAATACATCTCAACCCACGACATGAAGGCCGACATGTGCACAAAAGCACTTGGAAAACTGAAACACACGAAGGTCATTTCCGACTTGAAGATTCAGCAGCAATGAGCACGGGGGGTATTGAAGTATCAGATGGAGTATGCTCACTGGCTGAATCACTGCGGCTCCGAGGACAAGTCCACGTGGTGCGCAAACGGTGATAATCATAGTTGAAACCTAATGTAAATAGATATAGTTACTTTCTCTTTCCACTCGATTGTAACTTTCTTTTTCTCATTCAAGTTTTCACTCAAGATTATCATTTGTCACAACTCGTGCATTTCCACTTACTCGTCGCGGTCTTTCTAGGTGTGATCTATTTCAATCTTCTTCAACTCTCTTTCATCAAGTCTCATTGTTTCATATCTCTTTCCTTTCAGGTTTGCTCCTTGTTGCTCACTCTCCTTTCGGTGGTCATTTGTCTGACCCTAAGTCGGTTCTCAAAGGTGTGTATCAAATAATAATGATTCAAGTTTTCACTCAAGATTATCATTTGTCACAACTCGTGCATTTCCACTTACTCGTCGTGGTCTTTCTAGGTTTGCTCCTTGTTGCTCACTCTCCTGTCGGTGGTCATTTGTCTGACCTTAAGTCGGTTCTCAAAGAACTCGCAACACCTCTCCCGTCCTTCGTCCTTTAGTATGTATCATGGTTGAAACTGATAAATAAAGTGAAATACAAATTGTCACAATGACATCAACACAATGATGCTTTTACAACTGTAGCTTCTGACATCATGTCAAGCCAGTTTCATGACTGTGTATGTGTACTCAATGATTTTACCATAGCTTTATAAGTAATCCAAAGTTGGTCTCATTACATGTCATCAATCAAGTTTTCTCACTGGATGGAAGGTTCACCAGATGACAGGTGACATCAAGTAAGATTGATCACTGTTTCAAAATGCATCTCCAGCTCTAGTACAACTACAATGATTCTGCTGGTGTGTGCTACAGGGGCATGAAACAGAGTTGAACTGGATACAAGGCCATCCTTGTCTGTCAATTAAAGGGGAGAACAAGAATATCTTAATATGGTTATTGGAGCATAACTCAACCTCAGCTCATGCATGTCTACATCTACAGTTCATTTTACTTTGCTTTATAGTTCTAATTATAGTGCTCATGGCTCTGCTATGATTTGAGTTTTTTTTTACCCTGTTGTTTGTAGATTTAGATTGGTGTCACATTGATCAACTAATGACTTCTGTCACAAAGTGAAAAGGCTTGATTCAATATGGAAATAAAACTGTAACTAATTCCAGTTGTGTGTGTGAAATGTTTTTTGTTGTTGTTGATCTCAAAGTGCAAGAGCTGCTTGACATCTAAAACTTCAATAACCTCCTTTCATTTCTCTCCCCCTTTATTCAAAGTCAAAAAAAAAAACTCAACATTGTTTCATCTCACAAAAAATGGCTGGTGTTCAAGCACATTCTGATCACATCCAACAATTTTTTTTTAATTTGTATTTATAAGGATGATGAAAGTCGTTACAGAAGAGTGAAGAAAGGGGAGTTGAGTTTGAGTTTGAGAGCCTTATAGATGATCCATTTTAAATCAGCAATGTGGACATGTTAAATTGTTACTTAACAATACTTGACCACATACTCTGCAAATTTTGCTGGGACCAGTCAATTTGAGTCATAAGTATGCTGCCAAATCCTGCTTTTTATAATTCTTTTATATTTTCATACATGCTAGCATTTGCATATTCACTTTTGAACACCATATTCCCTGTGATCTAAATTAGCAACTTGGACGGATCAAGTCCTGAATGTTATTTACCGATGAAAATCGATTGAGATTGCGTTTCTGAGTGCTCTCCCCATTTTTTGTTTAAAGAGTGAGAATTTGGCCTTTGGCATGGCACACTACACGAATCCACATAGTCTGGAGTCTGCACAAGCAGGTAAAACTAAGCTCACAACCAACGGTTCATGCAGAAAAATGTGTCACGAAAATCTTGAAAATGACTGCGAAATGAGTGAGTTGCTTTATATCTTATTATAAGCTTGAGATGCTTGCAAAAAGCTTACGGAGGAGTGATTGGATGAGCGGAAGATCTCAAGCTGCAAGGATTTGCTGGCTAGACATGTTATAGATGGGTTAGATCAGATATAAGTCTGCCCCACCGATAAGCGGGTGTTGTACAAGACTCGATCAGAATCTTACAAAGGGCTGAGTAGGTTTTGTGTCTGGATGTACATACATATCTTTGATTCCCAACTGATTATAATAGAGGAGGAGGTGCTGATTGTTATCGGCCTGGGCTCTGGAGTGGCTGTCATGGTCGTGAGTAGTTGATCTTGGATTTGTGATAGCCAATAGATCGAAGGAATTGATGGACCGCTTCCTGGATCTGTGTAGACGAGGCTCCTGCCTTAACCATATTCATTTCTGGAGAGGAGTTTGCGTGTTTTTACGCGAGTGGACTGGCTGTTGTGGTGGCGTTGTGTCTGATGATGATATGATCGTAAGTGGCGAGTGTGAGTGTGTTGATGGGGTGTTTTTTTGTGTTGGAGATGATGTGGTCCTGTTGGGATATGTAGTGTCGAGTCTTCCTCTGGTGAGAGTCATGGCTCCTGATCCCACTCCGATAAGTCCATACTCATCCTTAAGTGCATAATACCCACCAGCCTCACACAGATGGAATGATGGTGATCTGGCAACCTTGCCCACTGTTTCTGGGCTTGTCTTCCCAGCTGTTTCCAGTGCCAGTGCAAGTGTCTTTATTAGCTTGTTCAGTTGCTAGGTTGTCTTTTTCCAAGTTTGTTGATGGCCCGAGTGTATTCTTCCTAGCTAGTTTACTTAAATCCACTCCACTCTTTTCCCCCCTCCCTCCATCCCTCCCTGTACTCCACTTCCAACTTCACCCAACAACCAACACACCCAAAAGCCCACCATCACAACTGCTCGAAATACCAAGACAAGACAAGGCTCAACCATCAGCATACAATCTCGACTAACAACACATGGCTCTCTCTCCTCCCGACATCCATGTCACCCGATGGTGGTCCAATCAACCTCCAGTCGATGGCTACTGGGGTCCCTCGTAAGCACAAGCTTCAAAACCCCCCAAAAAAGAATAATCCACTCTCATATTGATTGATGGATATCCAAGAACTGACACCTCTCTATCTCTCTCTCTATTTTTCTCGAATCGAATCGGTTACTTTGTCTGTCCCTGCAGAACCTCTTCAATTGATTGGTGGTCAGTACACTCATTCACTCACTCCCATCCAGACAGTCAGGCAGGAGAAACTCACCTCGTTTCTCTCTTATCTTTCCTCAGTGAAGCTAATTATGCCATCACCAGATTCATTGCTGAATTTACAAACACTCTCTCCAACTTGGTCTTTGGTTAGTTCATCCATTCACATCCCCCACAAAACAAACACACTCACTTACGTTGTCTGTATTGCTCTTTAGTTTCTTGGGCCCTCTAGTCAGTTTATCTCCCTCCTTTCATCACATCTTGAGCCTGGTTTTGACGATGGGCTTTCTTTTTGGTCTTAGTGGAGTGAAAAAATGCAGGGATGAGAAGTTGCCTTTGCCATTGGCACTATGTCAAGTAGGAATAGCATTAGTAGGCATCGGAAGTTTCTTGTAAGTCTCTCTCACCCACATCAACAATAAACACCCCCCCACCAGATGAACCAAAAAAAAAACTAACTAATACGAGAAATGGACGTATTTCTATACAAAAAACTTAGGTTTCATGCGACACTACGATACGAATGGCAACTAGGAGACGAGCTGCCGATGATCTTCTGTTGTGCATTCATCACCTATGTGGCCTTCGATACCGGCAGTGCCAGTCTACCCCGGACCCGCTTCGTTCGCAGCCTGCCCTACTTGCTCTCGCTCTACTCTATCGGCGTCTCGGCGATCTACCTACGATACCCTAACCCCGTCTTCCATCAAGTCGCTTATGGTACCATCCAACTGTCAGTTCCCCTGTCTTCATTAATCCCTATCTCTCTCTCTCTCTCTCTCTCTCTCTCTCTCTCTCTCTTCCTCGGGTTTTGATCTACATTTACTTATTGTATTGGCTATTAAACATTAGACTGGCTACGTTTCGCTCCGCTTATACCGTTCGAGCGGCCCCTGAAGGAACGTATCGTGAACAGAAGAACAAGGCCGATGCGACCCGCTATCTATTAATCGGATCTGTCACTTTTGTCACCGGCTTCTTGATCTGGAACATCGACAACTTGTATGTCTCCACTCTCTTCCTTCTTTCTGTCTTCAAAGAGGCTTGTCTGGGTTTTCTTACGGTGTGGATTTTTCTTGATTGGTGTAGATTTTGTGATCGGATCTCGCATCTGAAAGAGTACTTGGGCACTCCGTGGTCATTCGTCTTGGAAGGACATGCCTGGTGGCATCTAGCCACTGGTACAGGCTCATACCTAGTAAGATTTCCGGCTCTCTCTCTCTCTCTCGTTCTCCTCTTTAGTTAAGAGTGAGACAACCCGTCTGACCATGATCTTTCGACTGTAATCAGATTGTTGTAGGATTGCAACTGGTATCATTGAGCTTGAAGGAGGGCGCAGATGGGTTCGAGATCAAGCGGGGTGGGATCCTCGGTCTCTGTCCTTACGTCGCCCGAATCCCGATCAAGATCGACCCCAAACTCCATTAATTCCCTCCCAACTCCTCTACATATTGTCCCACCTGCTCTAGTACTGTTATCCTCTTTTTTATCCTGTTCATACCTCAACTCATTGGCTGCATCCTTCTCTCAATCGTGTACATTTGAATCGTCGGACCCGGTCCCCCTCCCTCCCTTTTTTTCTCTGAGCCATTCGGCTGCTCGTGTCGGCTTGTGACTTCCCGTGGCTCTCTTACATACCCCATCCTCTCTTCCATCTTTTTGTTTCATTTTCTTTTGCTCTTCATCTGCATTTTATTCTTGTCTAGCTTCCCCTTTCTCTCTCTCTCTCTCTCTTTCCCTCTCCCTCCCTCTCTTTCTCTTTTTTCCTATCGTCCTAAAAAAGAAAACTTTCCTTGTGATTCAGATAAATGAAATTATAGAGATTTTGTATCTACTAAATTTATATATATATATTTGTATATTCCTCGTTCTTCTCACTTTTTTTTCTTTCTTTCTTCTTTCATGTAGATCCTCTTCCATTTCCATTGTTTGTTTTGGCTGTCCAACAAATTCAAAACCAACTCCTTGCAGAAAAAAACCTTGATTATCATCTTTTTTTTTTTTTTTTTTTTTTTTTTTTACTGATCATTATTGTTCATTCTCTCCAATTTTTGTTGTTGTTGTTGGATTTCTCTCACATCAATTCAAACACATAAATTGTACATTTTCTACACCATGTTTTTCCCCAACTTCTTTTTTTCATTTTTTCGGTCAGGAATTTGGAGATCATGTGGAAACACCGCACCGCAAATGCCTTGTTTTCTTCATACACCCATCAATCCAGCACTGGGAGAAGGCATAATTGCAGTGAGCTTTCGAAGAAGAAACACGTACGGAGGAGAGGAGTGCGAATGGATGAACGGATAGTCAACAATCCCCATGCAGGATCACTCCTGTAATAACCCCATAAGATTGCAGTATCTTATTGTATTTTCCATAGAGACAAGTTTTTTTTTTTTTTTTTTTTTTCTCATTCGACTGTTTATAAGATAGAGGAGAATGGTCGTGAATAAACAATGTCTTTATGTACATATAATGAGGAACCAGATCTGTTGATCAAAAGTGAAATGCAAAAAAGATTCAAGAGGGGAGTATGTACATACTGGGGGATCGTTGAAGATTCGGAGATCAAAGCCTCAATCTCATCAGATCGATTTAAATTAAAGGGGGGGGGGGCGGATGTTACTTATGGAGTGTGTTTTGCTATCGGGTAGTTATTCATCCGGGCTTTGGAGAGTCGAGGCCATCCGTGTGCGGATTTTCCAAGCGCCTACATAATTTGAAGTGTTAATAGATCAAGCTTGCGATTCTCAGCCCCGCAGGTCGCGTCGGGTCGCCATCACACAAGTGATGGCATGAAAATGCAGCTTGCAAGCAGGACCAGACAAGACCAGACCAAATGTTTCAAGGGGTCCCCCTCCCCCCTCTCCAAGGTCAACGGCTCGGCCAGGTTAATTAGACATTTACTAGGCCGAGCATTGGCTTGAATGGCAGTGCCGGTCTTACAAAGATGCTTGAATGCTTGACGTGATGGCCAGCGTCATGGACGGCGCAGTTTCCAGTGATCGATTGGTCGGGTTGCTTCCTCCTTCTGCTCTCATTGTCACGAAGGAATTAATAGCTGCAAATTTAAAACCAAGTAAGAGCGAGCCGGCTGTCAACCGACTTTCGTGCAACCGACTTTCGTGGGGGCCGCAAGTCCAGGATTGAAGTGTCTCGGGCTCACAAGTGCTCGCAGAATCTTTCGGTCGGCCTCCCTGGTTGGTCGTCAACATGCTTCCTCCAGACAGTCCAAGGAGGGTCATGATTACGCCACCTTCTACTTTTTACTTGTCATTCCCCTGTTAGATTCTTTCTATGTGATTTTTTGGTTCACGCTTTACATAGTACTAGACTTTCCATTCATTGACTCAAACTTGGTTTACAGCTTATCAAGTAACCATTCACACTGAACGACTTCTCCGGATAACAAGAACATACATTCGCTTCCTTGATTCAAATTCATACAATCCTTCAACACATTTCTCATAAATAAACTTGCCTACTTTCATGAACAAACAGCCACCCAATATCAAGTAGATCTTCTTCACGAAAAGGACGGTCTTATTATTCATGGTTTACATCTCTCTCACCAAAAGATTTTCAAATCCGTTCTGGATATTGAAAGCCTCAAAAGAGGAGAAGACTTTCAAGATATGGGTATTACACCTCCTACTGTTGACTTATATTTTACTCAGTGCAGTCAGCGGCATGTTCCTTCCAAAAACCGCGGGGGCTGCAGACGCTCTGACTGGGGGAGTTCAAGGACTACGAGCGGGGGAAACTCTGGATTCGGGGGTTGGCGCAGGAAAAGGACTCAGCAATGTTGTGGATTCAACCAATGCGCTAAGGGGCACCGGAACGGAGACTTTGAAGCCTCAGGATCTCATGACCATGAGGGGTGGAAACGAAGCTAAATCACTACCGAAAACTGAGGATGCCTCCAACCTTGATAAAACACTAACAAAAGCTGAGGATTCCTCAAAACTTGACCAAGCCAAAGCCGATGAGGTGGAAGATCTAGATGAGCCAAGGATTTTGGGGAGGCAAGGAAAGATAGAGGAAATTGAAAAGAAAATCAAATGGTATGCTGAACACATGGGTACTTCTGCACCTCCGGAACTGGTGAAGCAATTAGAGGGACTGAAGAACGGAGAACCAATCAAAGCCATCAAAGCCACGCCGGCATGGAAACCAGGTTTGCAAACAATCCATTCCCAAAAATTACTTGAAGAAATCTCAGAGACAGCCCATTCACTACCGGCTGCTCAAAAGCTCAGCATGTGGAAGAAATTGCTTACCCACTTACTTGAGTATTTTCGCAATTCAGAGGGAATCTTGCCTGCTCTTGTGATGAAATTACATCTGAAAACTCCACCAGTGGTTTAGTAGAGCTCATGTTCTTGCTGAAATGGACACCAAATGTAATTTCTTTTTGATTCTATTATCTTGTATTTCAGCATATTTTCAATTTCTTCTTCTTATATCATGATAGCTGATAATACTCAAGAATCACGGTCAATTTGTGGGTCAGATTTTTATGTTTACAAATATTTGTATTTTGTTTCTATGAGAAAAAGGACTCAAAACCATTTCATATCCAAAAATGAAGAAAAACAGGATTTATTATTGAAACTAGAACCAGGACTATTATTTAAAGAAAACAATTTGTTAGAAGAATTTCAAAAGAAAAGAAAAAGCAATAAAAACAATCAATGATTTTTGAGAAACAGGAGGAAATTTACCATGAAAGATTTGTTTTTTGAGTTAGACAGAACTGAAAGACTGAAGTAGATGATATCAAACAATGATATATAATAAACACTATTTTTGAGATGAGAATTTAATGAGAGAAAAAAAAAAGTCAACACGGAGTCAATTTTGAGAAGAAAGTATACTATAGTTTTTTCTCACCAAATTGGCAAAAGCCAGATGAGAATTTTGAGCGAGAGATTTGGGGGAATGAGAATAAGAGGAGGATGAGTCAACGTTGATATGATGTGAATTCGTCGTTGATGAGATTGCACGAGTAGATTTATGAGAGAGAGAAGATAGAGAAATAGTGAGGAGAAGAAGCAAAGTCGGAGTGAGGCGAATAGCGGAATCATTGAGGAGTTTTGACTTGGATGAGATGTTGAGATTGTTAGGCCGAGCAGTGTTGGCAGGGGTATAGGATGGAGGAAGTAGATCAATGTCTTGAGAATATGTTTTGAAGACTGCTGGGGGAAAAAGAAATGTGAGGAGTTGCCTGCTTTATTTATAGATGATCGGTTGAGGTTCGGCTTGTGGTTGCGAGTCTTTGATTGGTCATTGTCCGACTTGTGGTTGATGACTGGATAGGTTTTGATTGGAATACTTGTTTCAGGAAGAGGCTTGCAAGGCTTGATGATGTATCGAGGACGTGAGACGAGTATGAATGTGAGGCGTGATTTGATTGTATTTGGAGAGAGTGTTTTATGGATAGGAGAGAGAGAAACGTTTGAGATAGAGACAGATGAGGAAAAGAAGAGCGGAGGAGAGCGGAGTGCGGGCGGAGTATGTGTCAGAGCAATGAAATTCCAACAAAAAACAACAAGCCTTTAAGATATCAAAAGTTGAATTGAATTTGATATTGCTGCTACATGTGAATTTGGCAATAAGTTTTTATCAATCAGTTATTATATATTTACATTTTTCATCAGTCATACATTTGTCACAACCATTTTCTTCTTTCCTTGAACAGCTTACTGCATACATCTAGCAACAGGAATTCATTAATTGGTAAGAACCTTGTTTTTTGGACTTTTCCATTTCAAAGGCAAGGCCAACTATTCCAACATGCCATTTTCACAGAATTTTTTAACAATTTGATGTCTTAAACTGTTGAAACATTCTAATTTATGGCCCTGATAATATGGCCAATTTTGTCAAAGGCTTGAGCCCTTGTCAATCCAACCAATAATTATTGGATAAAACATTGCACTTTTCTACAAAGTCTGCCATACCTCTTCCTATGTATTCAAGAGTGTACAATGGATAGACAGTGGAAATTGGATGCTTAGAGCATCTCCGTGGGTGTTGTGGTGGAGAGAGCGTTATGGAACTACTCTTGGGAGGAATAGAGCTTGAGAGGGATGAGTGCTTTATTGGGCTGCCTCTCTGATAACAAGAAAATATAAGAGTATGGACTCTTAAGGAAAGGTGTGGCTTTGGAGATTTCTTGAGGATGGTATGTCTAATATGTCTTATGTTTACTAGTCTAAATATACTTGTTCACAAATCAAGGTATCCCAAATGTTGATGGGCAAATACCTGGCTAATAATGGGTGATCAGTTATCTGGATTGCTGGGGCAGGATCTGATGAGGAAAAAATGAAGGGGAAAAACAAAGCTCCTTATATACAAAATTCTGGGGAGTGGCCACCTTGTGGTTGGAAAATAAATGGAACATTCTATGAGATCATGAAACAAGAGAAAATATTTATCCAGAGAAAACAGGGGAAACAAGCAGTGGGAAAATGCTTCCAAGGTTACTAGTATGAAAAAATTAAGGGGGAGAATATTCCATGGAAGAAAATAGGAGGAGATAACAGTTTCATGGGTGGGGAATTTTTACTAGTGTGGAACACAGGGGGTAAGAAGAATGGAATATGTTTGGAGGAGAATGAGTTTCAGGGCTGTGGAGTTTCTGGCTGGGAAATATTATTATCCATGTGGTCTGTGCTTGAGGGGATTCATGACTGGTTTGGGGGTCTGGGGAGCTTTCTGGGGTGTCTTGATCCTGTGATTCCTCTGTGATTTTTACTTTTGATGTGCTTGGATTTTCAGGAGTGGCTTACCACAGCGTGTTGGGTCAAAGCTTTGGCCAGATTGTTTGGCAGGTGCGGAATGTATGCGGAGGATGAGGAAAGCATATGGAGCTGATGCTACACACGCAGGCTGAGGAAAGCAGGTGTCAAGCGGGTAGAAATTCAAGCTTTCTTAAGTGTGGAAAAGTGCGGGGAGAGCAGGGGTCAAATGTACAAAGTTCTGGAAAAACAAACTGCTGGAAATCCGGGCACCCTTGTGCTTTGGGGTTCATGGCCAACTGAGGACCGGGGTTAGGGTGCGCTGCAGAGGGGCTAATGAAGAATGGGGGCACCAACAGGTGGAGGTGGGGTTCTGTGTGGCTGGATCAGAGGCGGAAGCGGCGGTGGGAAACCTGTTTTACTGGTGGCCGGAGCAAGACACTAGCTGGCGGGTGTTGTAGAGGTGACAAGCGAGTACAAGGGAGTGAGGGCGGAGGACAGCATAGGAAGTGAAGGATAGAGAGCGTGAGATAGTGAGAGGAGGAAGATTTTGGAGGAGGATAGATGGAAATTTAAAAAAAACTTATGACTCAGAACATATCAGAAAAACATTAGAGAATAGGAGTAATAGTGTTATTAGCCTGAATTTTGTTAGAAAAGAGAGGAGTTCAAGTTTTAGAGTTTTTAAAGAAAAGAATCCCTAGTTTACAAACATACCAACAATTCTGGGTTGCTACACTTTTTTCGCAAAAAGCATTAGTGTAGCAGTTTTCTTTGCATGCCAAAATTGTGTAGTGTTGGTGAAAAGTTAGCAATTTTTCACTACATTATTCTGCACTATGGGCCTCTAATAAACACTACAGGTCCAAAATGCCTCTTACCAGCGCGTTAGCAAACATAGCGGGCACTTTTTAAGGGCCTGCACACGTAGTGTTAGCGTGGACATGGCAGAATTCTGCTACGCTATACTAAAGTTTAGCGGAATTCCGCTACGTTACACTGCGCTAACCGCTACGGTTAGCTTAGCTGGCCCACCGCTGATATGGCGGTACAAGTGATGTGAATGAAAAATATTTAAGGATTGGCAAATTGAAATCTCAGAAAAGTCTTGAGAGATTCTGCCAAGGAATAATAGATTTGTATGCAACCAAATATCATCAATTGCCCAACAAATCCAATGTGAAAAGGTTGTTAGCAACTGGGAAGAAAAGGGGGTTTCCTGGGATTGTATGTATTGGGAGTGGAAAAACTGCCCAACAGCTTGGGCTGGACAGTTTCAAGGAAAGGAAAAGGTAGATATATTAAACTTGTTTTCTTTGCTTATAAATTCTGAGTTGTGCTGACTGTATTCTCGGTGCCTACAACTGTTCTAGAGGAGTTTGTGTCAAAAGATCTTTGGGTTTGGCATACCTTTTTTGGTATGACAGGGAGCCACAATGATATAAATGTCTTGGATGCATCCGCCTTGTTCCAAAGTCTATTGAATGGAGAAACACCTCTTTGCAAATTCACTATCAATGGCCATCATTATCACCAGGGTTACTATCTGGCCAACTCAATTTACCCTGACTGGGCAACATTAGTGAAAACAATCTCACATCCTTGAGGTCATCAGCAAAAGGTAATGTTTGTTTTACTCCTCCTCTTGACTGGAACTATTTGCTCATTGAAATGATATAAATTACTTCACAAAGTTGCAGGAGGGTTCTCAAAAGGATTTCAAACAAGCTTTGGAGTCCTGCAAGCTAGGTTTGCTATTGTTGCACGAATGGCACTATATTGGTTTCAAGAAAAGATTCAACTAATCATGAAGACTTGTGTTATCCTCTACAACATGATTTTGGAGGATGAACATGCAGTTACTTATAATCATATTTACAATTAACCATCACAATCTGAATTGACTCATCCTGTTGGTACATGATTGGCTGATCTGTTGGTTTTTATTCAAAATTATTGTGCAATGCTTAATTCAACTCAGCATTTTGTTCTTCAATATGATCCCGTTGCTAATCTATGGGCTTGAAAAGGGTGAATGGACCTGACCACCAATGATAAACAGCTGCTGTTCTTTACTTTTCCTGCCTACTCCGCTCTCTCAATGCCTTTTTTTGTTTCTGTATTAGTGGGATTCAGAGTTGAGTGCAAGTGCCTTGCAAAAGGGTTTGCAAGTCAATCTGCACAACAAAGCATGCATGTTCAGCTCCCATTACTCATTAGAAGGTTAGATGTGGCTAGTAGAAAGACATTTTTGAAAATCTCCATGCATGAGAGTGACTTGAAAAAGGTTTTGCAAGTCACTTGAACTCAACTGCGAAACCCCCTATTATGTTGTCTTTTTTTTGTATGCCTACACCATGAAAAATTTGAGGGCAGTACATGTCAGGTGACATGAAGCTAACTCCTGCCTTTATTCCAGTGTTACTTCAAAATCAAAGGGTTGGGACTCCCTGACGCCCACAAAGGGGACATTGTTATTTGAGCAGACAAGCACCAGAGTAACAGTGGAGTTGTCAGCCTCTGGGTAACTAACCTGAGTATTTAATAGTAAAAAGGTTGTTACTATGAGTTGCCTGAAGTTTTTGAGCGTGGTGAGTGTTAGGTAGTGGGTGATTAATACCA